TGAGTCTGCCCCCTTTAAATAAGAAATTTCATTTCCAACCAAGCAATCTTTTCTCAAACATATCAACAACTGGTCCCCATAGACCCCATCCTTATATTTTGAACCCAAAGGAATGCCAAGATATCTTATGGACAATTTTACTGATTTACAACCTAGTACTCCAGCTAGTGTGCCATCATCCCTACTGTCTCCAAAAACTACCATCTTGGATTTAGAGAGATTAATGTTCAGCCTTAAGACCGCCTGGAAGCATAACAGACCATATCTCAAATTCAACAGCATCCCCATTCCTAGTTTTCTGAAGGTTAAAGTATCATCAGTAAAGAAAAGATGTGATATTTCAACCTGGTTACTGTTTCTGCCAATAAGAATACCTCTTTACAAGCCTACCTCTCTTGCCTTCACTAATAACTTATATAGAGTTTCCATAAAGATAATGAATAACAAAGGAGAAAGTGAGCCTTCTTGCTCAGACCTCAGGCTGACTTGAAAAAGGAGAATGATCCCCCATTCATCATCACAACAAAAGAGGGTGTAGTAACGCACATATAGCATCCATTTCTTTCATTTATGCTCAAATCCAAGTCTACCCAACATATAGTCAATAAAGTCCCAACAAATATAATCGTTTGCTTTTTTTCTGTATCGAGCTTATGCAGAATCGCTTCCCTCTTGTTACTTGTCATATCATCAACCACTTAAGTAGCTACCATAATAATGTCAAATATTTGTCTCCTTTCCACAAAAGCATGTTAACTCTCTCAAATAACCTGACCCAAAACCTTGGTTATTTTCTTAGCCAAAACTTTTAAAATCAACTTATAAATGTACCACACTAAGCTGATAGGTCTAAATTTCTTTGTATTTTTTGCTCATTCAACTTTTGCAATAATTATTATGAAAGTGGAGTTCAATGATTTCACAAAAATTTTTGCCTTATGAAATTCATTAAATACATCAATTAAGTCTTCTTTAATAATAGGTCAAAAATTTTGAAGAAATCTCATATTAAATTCATTAAGCCCTAAAATTTTCTCTTCATTGCACTCCCTGAGACCCTCTAATATCTCATCTTCTGAAAATTCCTTCTCAATATTAATCTTGTTAGCTTCATCTAATTTCTGGAAGTAAATCCCATCAAGCTTCGGTTTTCTCCCGAACTCTTTTTCATATAACTTTTGATAGTATGTTTTTACTTCATCCCTTAATCTTTCATTGTCCCGTATATTAGCATATGACTTGCAGGTAACTACCAGTTCATGTTTTCTTAAATTTCTTTTTCTCTTAATAGTGTGATTGGCTTGAATTATGTTTCTATTCAATTTTTGAATTTTAATTTTTCAATACATAGGAGTTAGTTATGATTTATATATCTTGTATGTAATGAATTTAAATTTTATCATCACACAGTTAAACTAAGTATGTTTTCCAAATAATTTTATAATATTTTTAACTTTATTCGAAAGATAAACTTAGTAGGAAAGATGTGAAGCCACAACTCCAAGTACTATTTTCTTACTCTATAAACTTGGAAGACTTAAGTCTTTGTTCTAGTTGTGCATAGTCATCGCAATCATAAATCAACAGACTAAGAAACATGTAATTACATGTTAACATCCACCGATATCAGATTTGCCAAGTAACTTGGTTTGGTCGTGAGCAAATAAACACTGGCTCTTATGCTTCTATTCTTCTTTGTAGGTGCGGGCATGAGTTTTCCTGTAACTGCAGAGCTGAATGGAAATTTTATTGGTGGGCTAAGGGAAATATATGATTTCGGCATAGTTAGTGTTAAAAAGAGGTAAAACATCCATTTTAATTTTGAAGTTATTGAACAACACATTTGTTATTAGTTTTGTATGTGACTATATATTTCTCTTAAATTATGCAATATTTACTGATAATTAGTAATGTGTTAAAGATTGAAATTGTGCTTTGAGAGAAATTTCTTTTCCTTATTTCTTTATTTTATGTAAATTTGCAGTAACATGTCCATTTGGTACCATATAAAGTTTTATGATCATTTATATCAAATATACGTGGTCGATTATGCAATTTAAGGGAGATGGCTGATCTCAGCATGATCATTGCCCTTAACAGAATTTTTCATTTTCATATTTACCCAACTTTACAATTGTTATTCATATGCTGTATAATCTATGTGTTACTCATAGGTCATGTGACAATCACTTATAGTGATTGATTAATTGCAGAGGTAGAGTTTGGACTTTGGTAGAAAACTTTCATTCTTTCATTCTTTCTTTCGTCATTTCTTTTTTCCTTTCATTTAAATTTACATAAAAACGTGTCTCTTTTGTAGGTTCAAATCCAAACATTGAAAAAGTTATCTCAGAGAAAGAGGTATGTCATCAAGTTTTATGATCACGTGTAACATATTGATATGCTATGTTGCGCAATCTAAGAGATGAGGAGGGTGTTTTCATAGAGGATGATATTTCTCTCCATATTAGTTAAATGACACAATTGTTTGTCATATGTTATATACTTTATGTCTTACTCATTGGTTATGCAGGATTCACTAACAGTGAGATGTATTCCTCACAAGTATGCATTTTTTCCATTTTCTCTAATTTCAAACAAATTTTTTTTCACTTGAATTACACTCTGTTGTCCTCTGCAATGACTCCACTTTCAGAATATAGACCTAAAAACTCTGTCAGCATAAATAAATAAAGTGAGACATCAGTGACTTTTTTCTTTTCTTCTTTATTTCTTTAGAGTTGCAGTAACGATTAAAGCAATCTATTGCTTATTTCAGAGAAAGTCTGAAAATGGCGGCCAATGAGCTATCCCACATTTATGGTAAAGAGTTGTATGC